TATAACTTTTAATTATTTTTCTTAAAGAGACGAACGACTGGCAACAAAATTAAATGTTTGTGAGCTTTTAACAACCTTTCGACAAGTAGCCTTTCATTCGGTCGCTCAAGTTGAGCAACCGAATAAAAACCTCTTTGTCGAAAGGCTGTTAACAGCTCGCAAATAATTAATTTCGTGGCGAGTCGTTCGTCTCTTGAAAAAAAAAAACAATTAAAGTTTATGCATAGCTTTTGAACAACCAGTTTCCTTATGGGCTTTTTTATGACTTTTGTTTTATTAGCTATTTTTTCTTAGTTTTTATAAGCTCTAAGTTTTTTATGAGCCATAAAACAGCCAGTTAAATTCGACCCTCTCGTCTCAACTCAAATAAATTCTGTCGGACCAAAATTGGATATGTCTAAATTTTCTCGACCAACAAAATGTTTGCAATTTTGCTCAAACCAGCTGGAAGAAGGTTCTATTGCTCCGCCAAAGTCAAGTCATCCCAAATTTATTAGTTTTGTTGTTCCGTCTATGTCAATGAAAGTAATCGGAAAAACCATGAATGAATTTGTGTCTTCTAGCTCAACTTTTTTATTTCCTCGAAAAAAAATTCGTAGAGAACAAATGTGGTGTCGTAACAATGGGAAAAAACCTTTCAAAAATTTTACCTCTAATTCTCCGTTTTCCAGGTTAAAAGACACGAAATTTAAGACAGATAATGAATTTTCAATTCAACTCCGGTTCAAGTTTTTGTTTATCTCTTTATTTCCCTTTAATCAAAAAATGATGACAAAATAATAGTCCGTTGTTCTTTTTCAAAAATCAACACCAAACTGTGTATTTTGAGAATAGTAAGTGGATTCCGTTATAAGACCTCTCTTTGTTTTATCTTTCTTCGTTTTTGTGTTTCTTTTGATCGTGCCGACAAAATTCAATCATGTTTGAAGAAGTGTCTCTGGATTCCAGAAAATTACCCACATAAAAATGTGCGCCTATCCTGTGCATAGTTTGGACTCGTAAGGATTTTTTGGGTTTTAATTTTTTTTCAGATCGTTTGAACTTTATATTTAAATGCGAGTCATTTTGAGTTCTTACGGGCGCAACGTTTAAGCAATTTTTTGAGGGACTATGTTTAAGCTAAAAACAGCAGTACTCTTGAATTTTTTTCGAAAAGTCAGGAAAAACGACATTTAAGAGTTTTTATTTAGGATCAAGGTGAAGTGTCTAGACATATGGCCTAGAAGATGCATGGCAAAGCAAGTTGCATGGCAAGGCAAGAAAGGGCATGGCACAGCAAGTCAAGGCATGGTGAGGCAAAGTAGGGTATGGGAGGGCATGGCAAAGAGGGCCGTGTGAGGTAGGCCGTCGAACGGAAATACAGGGCAACGTAAGGTAGGGCAAAGAAATCTAGGGCAGGTTAAGGTGAAGCAGGTCAGCGCTGAGCAAGGAAGTACAAGGCAGGGCAAAGCAGGGCAGGGGAAGGCAAGAGGGGGCAAAGCAGAGGAAGGCTGTGTGTGGCCTTACAGGGCAGGAACAGCAGAGCAGAGCACCGCAGGGTGGAGCATAGCAGGGCAGCTCAAGGCAGGGTAGTGCAGAATAAGGAAGGGCAGCGTCAGCCCGGTCATGGAGTACCAGGGTAGGGTAAGGCAAAGCATGGCAGCTCTGAGTAAAAAAGGGCACGGCAGGGCAAGGCATATCAGCACATCAAAACCAAGCACGGCTTATCAAGGCAAGGGGGAAAAGCAAAGCAGCGCAGCGCAGTGAAGTGCAGTGCAATGCGAGGAGGCTCAAGGAAGACAGTACATTTTTTTTACAGTACACTGAAAGGTAATGCATCGCAGGGAGTAGCAAAGCAGTACAGCTGAGCGTAATACAGGTCAAAAAATGGCTGTACAGGGTATGGCAGCGTCGAAATAGGCAGCGAAGTGCATTGCAAGGCAAAACAGTGAACCCCAAGTTACGGCAGCCTAGGGTAGGGCAAGGCGGGGTTTCGCAAAGCAAGGAGATGTAAGGAAGGCAGGGCCTGGAATTACAGGTTAAGGAAAGTAGGGCAGCGCAGGGAGGAGCAAAGTAGGGCAGATGAGCGTAATACAGGGCAACAAAGGGCAAGGAAAGGCAGGGGAGCGCAAATCAAGGCGGCGGAGGGCAGCGCAAGGCAGGACAGCAGAAGTAGCGACATTGCAACGCAGGGTAGGGCAAAATTTACCATGGCAGGGCAGCGCAAAGCAGAACAGCGTAGCTCAACGCAACACAAAACAGGGCAAGGCAAAGCAGGCATCCCATAACAAGGCAGTGCAGGGCAATGTAGCGCAGTGCAAAGCAGAGAAGTGTAGCACAAGGCAAGTGAGGATAGCATAAAGCAAGGTACGGCAAAGCAAGGCGGCAAGGCAGGGCACGAAAAGTCAAGGCAGCGCAGGAGAAAACAAGGCTGTGCAACAAAAGGCAGGGCAACGAAGGAATGCTGAAAGTGAGGAAAGACAGGGCAGGCCAGCGCAATGCAAGGTAGAGCAGCGGAGCGCAGCTCTAAGGCCTATGGCCAATCAGGGCAGATCAAACAAAATGGCGCAAGGAAGGTGGGTAGCTCAAAACATGGCTGCGCTGAGCAGCGCAAAAAAAAACACACGAAAGGAGGGAAAATGCAAAGTAAGCTAGGGCAAAATCATCATGGCAAGGCAGCGTAAATCAGAGCACCGAACGCAACACCATTCAGGCTAGAAAGAGAAAGGAAGCTGAGGGCAGAACAAAGCAAGGCAGGGCAACGCAAAAAAAAAGAAAACAGGGCAGAGAAGGGCAGCATATGACAAGGCAAGACAGCGCAGCTCAAAGCAAGGCGGGAAGCAAAAATTAAAGAGAGTTATGCAAAAAAAACGGCAGTGTATGGCGAGGCAAGAATGATAGGTCAAAGAAGAGCAACTCAGGGAACCTTAAGGCAGAGCAGCAGTGCAACGCAAAACAAGGCGGCGCTGGGCAGGGCAGTCCAAGGGAGGGCAGTGGAAGGCAGGGTAGCACAAGGCAAAGCAGGACAGGGAAAGTTAGCGCAAAGCAAGTTCGGGTAGCGGAAGGCAAGGCATGGCAGTGCAAGGTGTCAAGTAGCGCAGGCCAATTCAGGGCATCGCATGCACGGCAGAGCAGTGCAGGGCAGATCGAGGCAACCCAAGACAAGGCAACACGAAGCAAGGCTGCGTTGTTCTGCGCAAGACAGTAACTTGAAAATGAGACGAGGCAAGAAAGGACAGAGCAAGCAATCGCAATGCAAGTTACAACAGCGCAGCGAAAGACAATGAAGGGACAGTTCAACGTAAGAACAGCGCAAGGGGAGACAATGCAAAATGCAAAAAGGGCCAGGCAGGCATGGAGCGCGCGAGGCAAGACAGGGCAGCGTACGGCGAGGTAGCGCATGGCGAGGCAATGCAGGACAAGGTTAAGCAGCAAGGCAGGGCAGCGCAAGACAAGAAGAGGCAGGGCACGGTACCACAGCGCATGGCGAGGCAAGGCATGGCAGCGCATAGTATGGCAGGGCAGCAAAATGCAAGACAAGATAGTGCAAAGCAGGGCAAGGAAGCGCAAAGCAAGGCAAGGCAGTAGATGGCAAGACAGGGAAACACAAGATAGGAACGCAAAATGAGGCAAAGCAAATCAGGTCTGGCAAGCGCAATGCAAGTTAGGGCAAAGTAACGCAAGGGCAGTGCATGACGAGGCAAGTCAGGAAGTGCCAGAGAGGGCAGGGCAGGGAAGCACGAGGCAAAGCAAGATCAAACAGGGCAGCCCATTGCAAGAAACAGGGAAGCGGATTTGGCAACGACGAGCATGTCAGAGAAGCGCAAAGCAAAGCAGGGCTTCAGAAGCCAAGGAGGTGCATAGCGAAACAAGGCAGCGCTTGGCAAAGCAAAGCAGGACAAGGTCAAACAAGGCAGGGCAGCAAAATACAAGGAGAGACAGGTCATGGTAGGACCGCGCATGGCGAGGCACAGCAAGACATGGCATATAAAAGCAGGGCAGCACAAGGCAAGGCAGTGCAGAGCAACGCAGGGCAGGTAAGCGCAAGTCAAGACAAGGCAGCTTAAGGCAAGACAAGAGCAGCGCAAGGCGGCAAGCAGCGCCGATCAGATCAGGGCATCGCAAGGCAAGGGAGAGCAGAGCAAGGCAGCCCAGAACACGGCAGAGCGAAACAAGGCAGCGCAAAGCTGGATGCGAAAAAAAAGGCAAAGCACGACAGGGCAGGCAGGCGAAATACAAGTTAGGGCAGCGCGCGGCGAGGCAAAGCAGGACAAGGCCAAGCAAAGTAGGACAGCGCAAGACAAGGAGAGGCAGGGTGTAGCTGGAGTGTGCATGGCACGGCAAAGCATGGAAAAGAACAGCAAGACAGGGCAGACCAACGCAAGGAGGGGCAGAGCAAATCAATGCAGGAGAGCGCGAGGCAAGAAGAGGCATGGCAAAGCAAGGCAAGGCATGGCGAGGCAAAGCAGGGCATGGGAGGGCATGGCAAAGAGGGCCATTCAGGGCAGGCCGTCGTAAGGCAAGACAGGGCAAGGTAAGGTAGGGCAAAGAAATCTAGGGCAGGTTAAGGTGAAGCAGGTCAGCGCTGAGCAAAGAAGTACAAGGCAGGGCAAAGCAGGGCAGGGGAAGACAAGAAAGGGCATAGCAGAGAAAGGCTGGGTATGTCCTGACAGGGCAGGACCAGCAGAGCAGAGCAGCGCAGGGAGGAGCATGGCAGAGCGGCTCAAAGCAAGGTAGCGCAGATTAAAGGAGGGTAGCGTAAACCAGGTCATGGAGTACCAGGGTTGGGTAAGGCAAAGCCTGGCAGCTCTGATTAAAACTAAGCACGGCAGGTCAAAGCAAGGGGGGAAAAGCAAGGCAGCACAGCGCAGTGCAAGGCGAGGAGGCTCAAGGAAGTGCAAGGCGGCAAGCAGTTCAAGGCAACAAGCAGCGCCGGTCAAATCAGGGCATCACAAGGCAAGCGGGAGCAGAGTAAGGCAGCCCAGAGCAGGGCAGAGCAAAACAAGTAAGCGCAAAGCAGGATGCGAAAAGTAAGGCAACGCAAGACAGGGCAGGCAGGCAAAATACAAATTAGGGCAGCGCATGGCGTGGCAAAGCGGGAAAAGACCAATCAAGGCAGGGCAGCGCAAGACAAAGAGAGGCGGGGCATAGCTGGAAAGCGCATGGCGCAGCAAGGCATGGAAGCGAATAGCAAGTCAGGACAGCTCGACGCAAGGAGAGGCACGGCAAACCAATGCAGTAGAGCGCGAGGCAATGAGGGGCTCGACAAAATGGGGCAGAGCATGACGAAGCAAAGCGGGATTGGGCAAACAAAAACTGCATGTCAGGACAATGCAAAGCAGAGCAGGGCAGCGAAAGCCAAAGCTAGGCAGGTTAGCGCAAGGCAGGGCAGGACAGCGAAACAGCAGGGTACGGCAAGGCGGGCAGAGAAAGGCAGCCCAGGGCAGTGAATTGGGACGAAAAAATAGCAGGACCGCGTAAAATGAACAATGACAAGGCAGGTCAGGTCAGGGCAGGTCAGGGCAGGTCAGGGCAGGCAAGTACACTGCAAGTTATAGCAGGTCAGAGCAAAACTTTGAGGGCCAAGCTATCGCAAGGGCAGCGCATGGCAAGGCAAGGCGAGGAAGTCCAAGCAGGGAGGGCAGCGCGAGGCAAGGCGGGGTAGCGTAACAGAAGGTAGGGCTGTGCAGGACAAAGAGGACAGAGCAGCGTGAGGCATGACAAGGTAGCGCTTAGCAGCGAGAAACAGAGCAGGGCCAACATGACGATGAAAGTCAGGACAAGGAAAAAAGAAGCTGGGCAAGGCAGGCAGGGCAAGGCAAAGCAAGGCAGGGTAGCGCAAAGAAGGTCAGGGCAACGCAAATGAAAATAGGGCGGCGGAAAACAAGGCATGGAAGTGCAAGGCGGCAAGCAGCGCCGATCAGATCAGGGCGTCGCAATGCAAAACAGGGCAGTTCGAGGCAACCCAGGACAGTGCAGCACGAAGCAAAGCAGCACAATGCACGAACGCAAAAAAATCAGTGCAAGGCAGGACTGGGTAGCGCAAAGCAGGGTAGGACAGCGCGAGGCAATGCAAAGACAGGGCAAATCAGGGCAGGGCATCGCAGCGCAAGGCAGTGCACAGCAGGACTGGGTAGCGCAAAGCAGGGCAGGGCAGGGCAGCGGAAGACAAGTCAGGTCAATGCAAGGCTGCAAGGAGGGGAGCGCACATAAAGGCAGACAGGGCAGTGCAGAGCAAGGCAGCGCAAGGTAGGGCAATGGAAGTAGATGCAAGGCAACTTGAGATAAGGTAAGCCAACGCAGCGCAAGCAAAGCAAGGCAGCGCAGCGCAGCGCAAGACAAGAAGGGGCAGTACAAAGCAGTACAAAACAGGGCGGCGCATAGCAAGGCAAGGTAGGACAGGGCAAGGTAGCGAAACAAAGACAAACTTAAGCAGCGCGCAGAAAAGCAGGACAGTGCAGGATAAGGAGAGCTTGGCAGCGTAGTGCAGGGCAAAGAGGGGCATGTCAATTTAGGATAAAGAAGGGTAGCATTGAGCAAAGATGTGCATGGCAACAAAAGGCAAAGCAGAGTACCGCAAGACAGTGCATGGCATCAAAAGTTAGGAAAAGCAGGACAGCGCTGGGAGTAACATGTAAGGGCAGAGCAAAAAATAGAGCAAAGCAATGCAATGCAGGACAGACCGAGGCAAGATAGTTAAGCGTATTACATGGCAAGGCAGGGCAGATCAAGACAGAGCAGCGTAAAGCAAGAGCGGCGGAGGGCAGCTTAGGGATGCGCAGGGCATTGCAGGACATGCAATGCAAGAATTTAGAAAGAGGGGCAAGGAGAAGCAGCGCAAGTAAAAGGCATAGCAGGACAGAGCAAAGAGCAGAGCTAAAAAGCGCAAGGTAGGGCATTGCGAAGCAAGGCAAAGAGAGACAAATCAAAGCAGGGCAGCGCATGGCGAGGCAGGGTAGGGCAGGAAGAGTAGGGCTAGGCAGGTCAAGGTAGCGCAAGACAATAAACAGCTTGGTAGCGCAAAACAGGGTAGGGCAGCGTATGGCGAGGTAGAATGTAGCAAGGCAAGTAGGGTCAGAGTAGCGTAAGGCATGACATGATACGACAGAAATGTTAAAAGCAGGGCCGTGCGAGGCACGGAGGGACAGAACGGCCTAAGCAAAGTTGCCTTAAGCAAGGCAATCTCATGGCAAGACAGGTTACAGCATGGAAGGCCGAAACATGTAGCGTACGGCAAGGCACCCAATGCGAACAAGACATTTAACTACAGTGAGATGCAAAGCTAGGCAGAGCGGTGCAGCCCAAGGCAAAACTGTAAAAGTGTGGGCCGGATGGATCATTAAAGAACAAAGAAGAGGATGACAGGACAGCGCCAAGTAGAGGAGTTCAGTGCAGAGTAAAACAAGGCAGCTCAAAGCAGGTAATCACACGGAGAAGAAGGGTAGCGCAAGGCGGGGCAAGGCAGAACAGGTTAACTAGGGCCAAGCAAGGTAGTGTAGCGCAAAAAAAGTTAGGGCCGTCTACGGAAAGAGAGAGGCGCACAGTAGTGCAGCGCAAACCGAAGCAGGGCGGCGCAGGGCGGGCGCAAGGCAAGTTAAGGCAAGCGTAAAGCAATGCAAGGCAGGGCTGAGTAAGGAAGCGAAAAGCAGGGCATACCACAGTGCAACAAGGGTGAAAAACAAATTGGGACACGGCGTTGTAGTGCCAACAAGGGCAGGGCAGCGTACCGTACGATAAGGCCGGTCAGCGCAAGGAAGCTCAATGCAAGGAGGAGCAATGCAAAGCAAGCCATCGCATTGCGAGTCAAAGCAAGGCAGAGCAGGGCAGGGCAACAAGGGTCAGGCAGGGCAGGGCGGTGCAAGACAAGGCAGGGTAGCATACGACAAAGCATGGCGGCGTAAGGCAAGGTACGCAAGGTAAAGCAGCGCTGAGTAAAGAGGGTGATAGCAGGGTAGGGCAAGGCAGGAAAATGCAGACCAAGGAGGTAAAAAGCCAGTCAGCGGAGGGCATGGCACGGCACAGGGCATGTTAAACCAGGGCAGATAAAGGCAAGCAGATTCTTTGAAGAGTAAGGCAGGGCATGGCAAGACCAGTAGACCGGGCACTGGGAAATCAGTGCATCGAAGAGAGGAGCATGGCAGGGCTGCGAAAGGAATGGCTGTGCAGCTCAGACAAGGCAGCGCAAGCCAGGGCAACGCAAGGCAAACGCGGTTTTACTTCAGTGCATAGCCAGGCGGGGCAGCTCAGCGCAGCGCAAAGCAGGGCAGAACGGCGCAGTGCAAGACAATTCAGGGTAGTGCAAGCCAAAGCAAGGTGGCGCAAAGCACGGCAGGGCAGAGCAAGGGAGCGAAAAACAGAGCAGTGCAAATCAATGAAGCGCAAGGCAGGCCAAATGAAGAAGGTGCAAGGCAAAACAAGGCAAGGCTAGCCAAGAAAGATCAGCGCCAGGCAAGGAGGGACAGAGCATAGCCGGGAAGTTCAGGGTGAGGCAAAGCCAAGCAAGGCAAGAGGCCCAGACGGGGCAGTGCAAGGCAAGGTGGGGGCAGGGCAGCCCAAGGCAAAGCAAGGCAGGGCAGAGCGCCCATGTGCAAGAAGGCACGGCATTGCACTAGAGAATAAGTAATAACAGGGCAGTGCGAGGCAAGGAGGTGCATTGAATAGTAAGGCAGGGCATGGCAAGACCGCACATGGAAACTGCAGGGCTTCGCAAGGGAGGGCAGGGCAGGGCAAGCCAAGGTTTTGCTTTTTTCTTCCCTGTCATATCATGCCCAGCCTTGTTCTGCCCTGCACTTGTTTGCTCAGCAATGACTAACCTTAATTTGGAAAGCCCTGCGCCCATTTCCCTTGCATTGCCCTACCTTGCCATTCTTGCCATGCCTTTACCTGCAAAATTTTAGAAATTTCCCCAGACCCAATCTTTTTCCGTGTCTCGTTGATGTTAAACGATCTATCAAAGAAGTTCGAGCTAATGAAGCAAAATTATTAAGTGCAAGAATGGGTTGACAACGACCGAGTGATGTCTTTTTGCCTATATATTTATACTGGATTGGTCAGTACTAGTGATGCGCGGAACTTATCAAGTAAATTGAAAATTTTGATTACAGTTTGCTGAAAGCTTGCTTGGATTTATTTCGTTTTCGAGGTATTGCAACCTTTTACAGGCTATCAAAAAACCGCAAAAAGTACGAGTTTTTTTTTTGCTTGCGTCTGAAATTCATTTGCTTCATCAAGCCATCCAGGCAAAGTGACAAGCAAATAGAGAGATCCTGAAAAAGAACATAAAGTCGTTTGAGTTTATTTCATTTGAAAACTTTTTTTGACGATACATCATCTAAAAAAGGTGGGCAGATACCGTACATCCGCTCCGTTAAGCCTACTTCTGATACATGCTTATTATATACGACAGGATCAATTCCGCAAAACATTTTCAGTAAATTCCGAAACTTTGCAGACACTTTAATCTTGCGGAGATGTTCTTCTTCAAACATGTGAAAAAAATTCTGGTGGAGAAACTGATTACGGTGAGATACTTGTCAAATGCCTTTGAATATGTGACTTTCATTTGAGCAGTTCGTTTGTCTAAACAATATTCCCTGCTTCAGAATGGAGCGAAGACAATTCCCAGCAGTACAGAACGTCTGATAATGATTGGTTTTTGTCAATGACAGAAAAAGCAAAGCATCAAAAAAAAATCACAGCAAATGTACACCAGCTGAAGAAAAAAAACAATTAAAATGGAAATACATAACTGAGGTCCAGCTTTGTGAGGAGGCGTGAATAATTTGAAAGGTACATCAAAACTTTCAAAAACATCTGTACACTTTTGATTTACAGAATTCCCTTTTAACAAATACTGGGATATTTGTCGCAAAATAGCGTATCTGATAATCATAGTTCATGACATAGATGCAAGTGTTCAGATACTTTAACTTATAATGATAAACCTGTAAAATACAACCAAAAAATAGGTTGTTTTTTGGTTGCACTGGAATGCATGTCTCGTTAAGTTTGCGTAAAGCCATTGAAATCGAAGGATGTCACGACCGCGTTACAATCATTTTTACAAATATACAACAGGCGAACCAATTAAAGCTATCCAAACGAATCGAATTCGTCCAACTTCCTGCAGCTGTATTGTTTGCTTCAATTAGACCTTCGACTCTGCGAAATAGCTCTGCAATCAATAAAAAAAATAGAAATATTAAAAATTTCATTATCTGAAAAGCTTACTTCAAGAGTTTTTATCTACTTGCAAACCATTAGTAGCTATCGAAGTAACTTTTCATGTTGTATAGCTCCATAGTTTGGTTACAATTGTTTCTGATTGTTTTGCTAACCAGTTTTCGCAAATAGATTTAAGCCAGCAAACAGCTTGAAGCCTTGCTTCAGTACATTTTCACATCTATTATGTCTAAACGTGAACGATTAGTGTCAGTCATAAGTTCGAAATGCATTTAATTGGCAACCGATGGACGACTTTGCGCAGATTTATCCCAGCCTCTAATCCCAAACTTTGGAGGTCTAAGCTTCGCATTTTTGCGTCACGGGCTTGCAGATTGTTTTCCCCAATACTCTAGACGCAAGCAAGAAACTTAAAAAAATTGGAAGGTTTTTCTTATATCCTTGATAAAAAATTCTCATTCTCTAGTCTTTGTGGCAAGTTCTCGAGCTAAAATCTGAAGAAAAATTTATGAATTGGTTATTCAGAACCAAAAAGAAATTCTGAATCGGTTTGAGATATTCGTTTGCAGTTGTTTGCATAGCTTGCAATAGCTTGAAAAAACTTTTTCAAGCTATTTCGACACCTGGAAAACTTTTATGAAAACTTTTTTTCGACGACTAGAAAAAATTTTTGAGAAATTTGGAAGTCTTCCAAAATCACGAGTGAAAGGGCTTCAATGTGATACATCACTCAACCCAGACCGATGGTTATTTGTGGCAGCTGATTTTGCGTGGAAAACAAAAAAGCCTTATCCGCGGATAAATTTTTGAAAAAAGGCCAAAAACAACGTTTTTATGCTCATTTTGTAAAATTTAGACAAAAAAATTGCGTTTTTCGTTGCGCGCTCCCCCCTCAAAATTAATGTAGATTGGCGCCAAAGGCGCCTTTAGAAAAATTTTATGTTCAGTCAGCCAAAAATGGATATCTCAAAATAGTACACAGGAGGACCCTCTGGGTCGGCAGGGGTTCGAATCCCTGAGGGAGGGGCGTCTGTCTCCCCGCCCCTCTAAGTCCGCTACTGCTTTTGACCCTTTGCGCATGTAAGTTGTTCGGTATTGTGTTGCTTGAGAATGTTTTTACATTTATGTGTCGTTCATAGTTTCCCTTTAATGTTTTGACCCTTATTGTTCCGACCATTGAAAATGGGGAGGAACTTTGTATTCGGTTGTGTTATTCTAGTTTCTGCAAACTCAGGCACCACAAATAATCATCGGATTAGTTTTCAAAAAGTGCTCCAAGTGTCGAGAAAAATCGGTTTAAAATTTCTTCTTAGGTCGAGCGAATGAAGCAAGCAATCAGGCTTTTTTGTTTTCCACGCAAAATCAGCTGCTGCAAATTATCATCGGTCTAGGTTGAGTGATATATCACATTTAAGTCCTTTCACTCGTGATTTTAACGACTTCAAAAAAATTTCAAAAAAGTTTTCCAGGTGTTGAGAAAACTGGTTTGAAATTTTTAATTTTTCGTCTAATTTCGAGCGAGTGATCAGGCTTTCATTAGCCTAATTATGCCTGATTTAAACCTTGAAAATTTAGTTTTTCTTTATGAAGTTAGTTTTTGCAATTTTATTTTTCAGCTTGTTATCAAGCACTTAAATCATTTGGGAAAAGTTTTTTGGAAACTTTTAGAAAAAAAGTATTTCTATAAAAATCTTTTGTTTTTTTTTGCTATTTGTCTGCAAGAACTGTTTTCCAGTTTGCATATTTTACATTGATTGATGAATATGTCTAATTTTAATTTTTTTGCTCAGATTCATTTATCACTCCGAGCCGAAAAATTGACACTAATTGGAAATCAATTGTGTTGTAATTTTTCAAGGCTGGTACGAACATTCTGGGCTATTTGCACAGTATCCGGTTATCCTTGTTGATAATAAATAGATCTGGCATATGGACCAGAATTAATGAGCGGGATATAAGGATTTAATATCGGTAATAGACTCTAGACACCAACCCCAGAAAAATGCCCCTTCTGAGTTAAAACCTCGGGTGACTCCTTCCGGTGTTTATAGACTTTCCCGGGAAAATTGATAACGGACCCTAGAAACGGTATAACTTGGGAAGTATTAATGGGATATAGATGAAATTTGGTTGGAAGAACTCCATTGGGATTCTAAACCCTAATATGGACGGTTGACCCTGGGCATCCCGAGGTGACCTTTAATTGACCTTTGGGAGTTGTGACAAACCCGGGACTAACATCGAAAAATGGCGCCTTCCCCAACCCCAACCCGCGGGGAACAAAAATCAATCGCCCTATTGATAATTCGGAGGGAACTTTTCTTTTGAGATTAAAAGCAAAAGCTGAAAAGGACACAGTTCTTACATTGTAACATTAAAATAGTGGAAAAATAAGAACGGAATTGGCGAATATTGGGTCCAAACGAGTTAGGCGAATGCGATATTTTCGGAATATCAATTATACTAAAGAAAAGTAGTCGTAGAAGAAAATGGCAGTATTAGGAGCATGGCATGAGAAGTATATACTATATCTTCTAAATAACATGAATGGGCGGCATAATTATTTAGCTCCCCTAAGGTGGTTTTTTAGTTCATTTTGAGCTCTAATAAGGTAAGCAATTTAGGCTTCTCGGACAGCCTGAATTTCGAGATTAGAATAAAAAATTAATTTTAGTTTTTGATGCTTGAAATGATTTAGCTACCAACAAAAAGGGACTCTCCTACCCTTGGGAGGTCAGAACGTCAAAGGGATAAATAAAGAAAAACCATGGGAGATCGGTTATTTAAACATAACATAATTTAGAGGCTAAATTTGACTTGATATTCGCACAACTTAATTAGTGATACCTATAACGAACTTAGAAGTTAGGGCTAGTGCCGTCAGTGAAGGATTTAGTTAAGAAACGATGTACCTAAGTAAATGTCAGGACTTTTAGGAACTCTTACTAAACTCAAATAGAAGAAAAAATAGAAGTTCATAAACAGCCTACACTTAGTGAGAGCGACTTAGCGATTGAATAGAATAATCGGTTCTCAGCTAGTTAGTAACCGAATAGTTTGTCAAGTCAGAAAATTGAGTTAAAGTACTTCAAAAGAACAACGATCCATAGTGACGCTAAAAATTGTAGCAGGTCAAATTGAGTAGTTGTGGGGAATTAATGTGAGTAGTTCGTTAGTTGGAATTTTTGGGAGAGTGAGAGAATCGTAAGTGAAATAAGTTAGTTGATAGATGAAGTGCAATTAAGG